CCATGAGAGGCCTCGGATGGATGGTAAGCCCTAGAAGTAGCCCGAGAATCTATGCTGGCATGTGACTGATCGATGTCGAAGGGCGGTGGAGATCGTCCACCGGGTGATGTGGGCCCTAGCATTCGTCGTTGTGCTGGCTGTGGGAAATTCGGCGAGAAAGGTTGAGAAGGTGAACTTGCATTTTCCGATAGAGCCCAGTCATCCACGTCGTTATCATCGATGAGACTATACAGTAGGGCATTGCTCAGCCAGGTGGATCCTGAGTTTTGGAGGACATCTAAATCTGCCCGAATTGAGGGGATTGGGTGGTCCTCGTCTACTTCCTCTTTGAAGTATATTAGTACACTGCCGTGTTGCATATCTTCGTCATAGCTAAACCCGGTGTATGGACGCATTTCTTCTCTTCCGTCGGTCCATACCTTGAAGTTCAACCATGTTTTCTGGTCAGGCGGAAGAGCGTAGGAACCCGCTGACGACTCAGATCTGAAGACGGGAGGGCCAGGTGACGGCGCGACGGTCTTCTTGATCGGTACTCCTCCACCTCTACCACGAGGCGCCTTTGTGTCTTTGCCCTTTGCCTGATATTTTATCTTCTCTTTGCCTTTCGAAGACGTGTCTGAGACTGACTCTGCCTTCGATGACTTCGTTGGCGGAGGTCGGGATCCAGAGGAGACGTCAGACGGAAGGGTGGCTAGTCGCGGCCTGCTACCATTTCCGCCATCGTGCGTAGAACTACTCCGAGATGTCGTATGGCTGTTGTTGCTGGATACTGTGAAGGAGCGTGTTATGCCACTTCTCGGATTGCTGGGGTTTGGTGATGGACGCCATTCCGCAAATCCATCTCGGCTTTCTTGTGTGGCTTCTGGCACCTTTCCTTTTACAGCAGTTTTCTTTTCCTTTTTCTCAACTTCTTTCTGTTGTACCTTGCGACTACGAGCGCCTCGTGCTGACATGTCCTCTTGAAGTCGATAGCAAAACTTCGATCGGCGACAGGCTGGATGACTTGTTCAGACAATGTCGTTTGATATTTCCAATACACCCAAGGTTCTATCAGTTCCTGGCATGGGCTTCGAAAGATTAAGAGATACGTCGGGAGGCAGTGGAAATTGGCTTGGAGTATGCTGGGGTTCGCTCCCTCGTATATTCGGATGAATGCTATTTTTGCCGCGTGAATCCAGACACGGAAAGAACGAGATGCGCCGGCTGAGAACGTGGTCGTACTTGATTAGAAAATGACGGCTGAAGGAGTGTGCAATGGCATCAAAATGTACGGAATCGAATTGGCAAGAAATTCCACACGCGCGTAGAAAAACGCGAGGGGTAAAAAGGGTGACAGCTATGCGGTACGGAGTTGTATATATTGAACCTATTCTCGAAAACCCATGTCCGCTCGTCCCGCCGTACAGGATGTGGAGCACAGGGCAGTAAGCAGTGATCGAAAGCGGTCTGGCTGCTGATAAGGAACGCATCCTACCGAGTTGCTGCAGGTTAATCCGCGAAGCGAACAGCCCAGCACAATGGCAGTCCCTATTGCGGACGAGGTGCATCGTGCGTGTGGAGAGACCAATAGCGACCCCAGTGTAATGGCTTGGATGGCAGACAATGGCAGTCTGTGATAAGTCCGGCTGATTCTTGTGCTTCTGGGCGGTCAGCACATCCCATCACCATGCAGCAGGAAATGAAAAACAATCCTTAGGCGCAGGCGAGGATGCAAAGGAAGAGCGGCACAGGCGAGCGGCGTGAGATTTGAACGTCTAGGTGGTCCGCGGTGCTGCTCCATAACGTCCGGATTCACGCAAGGTATCCCTTGTGTTTGGGGCGCTCGGCCCACGGCGCTGGGTGATGAGCGCAAAGACGTTTGGTCGGGTCGAATCTCAGGTGATTGCTGGCTGTCAACGGCCGCTTGCTCGGCGGTTCTGCCCAGCATCCACGAATAACGTCGACGCCCATGTGCCGTCTAGGCTGAGGGAAGCGGGTTGGGCGCCGACAGCTGTCTAGGCCCACTCTCAGCTGCGGCGTGTGTTGTTGTGGTTCCACGCGAAGCAGCTAATGCGCATCGAGCAGCGAGCAGCGAAAATCAAAGCATGGCAGGATGCGAACACATTCTAGTACTCCGGCGTAGTCTGAAAACCAGTTCTATCGCCGAAGCATGGCGTGTTTGAGGTGTCGTCGTAGGATGCGGTGTTTTGGTGTTGTGGTTGGCTCGAAATGAGGAAGGCACGATCCAGCCACACAGTACCAGCCTCCCCCGCCTTCACCAATACCCACCACCCGAGCAGACATCCCACTTTAAAGTATACATCCCGGTTTCCGTCGACTATACGTCACTCCGCAACACCGCGACCGTTCTGCAACCCGATCGCAAAGCAAGACGCATCCTGGTCTGTTGTCGCTGCAGGATCTTAAAAGCGCGCTGCCCTGCATTTCCTCAGCGCCTTGTCGTCGTCTTGCATCTCTCACTTGGTCGCATCGCACCTGCTCCGTTACACGGCATCAACCAACCGTGGTTCAGCTGACAGCCCCGACCAAAGCAAACTCGTCTTCCCACGAAGCATCTGCGGTTCCTGTCAACTGCCATCATGTCGTTCTCCGGACTATCCTTCATCTTTTGGCGCATCTTCCAGATCATCACCCTCATACCTGCGCTGGGTATGCTGGCGTGGTTCGTCGATTGGTACAACAGCCGCAACCTGCTCACACCCACGTCCATCCTCGTTCTCTTCATTGTATCCGTCCTCGGCGCAGTATGGGCTCTAGGCACCCTCTTCCTCTACACGCGCGCAAAGCACTCGGCCAAATTCGTTGCCTTTATCGACCTTCTCTTCATGGGCGCCTTCATCGGAGCTGTCTATGCTCTTCGCGGCATTGCCGATGCTGATTGCACCAACTTCAGCAGGCGTGGCGCTTACAGCGCCGACTTGGGTATTGCTACTATCAGTGGGACTGGATTCGGAGTCGACACCAACCGCCAATGCGCCATGCTCAAGGCCTCGTGGGCGTTCGGTATCATGTAAGTTCTACTTTCCAAAATCGAAAGCAATATCGAAGCTAACGTCTGCGCAGGAACATCATCTTCTTCTTCATCACATCCATCCTGGCCCTCCTTGTGCACCGCCACCACCGCAACGACCGTGTCGTCGTTAAGCGCGAAGTCCACCGATCGCGTCACGGCCACCACTCCCGCAGCCCCCGCGCGAGCCACAGCCGGAGCCGCCGCAGCTACGTCTAAGAAGAAGACGAGAGATGTATGATGAGGATTATCACGGGTACTGGAGTTGGGGTTTGGGAACATCTGGCAAAAGGCCATGGTCAGATCTTTACGAATTTCTTTGGACATATTCCCCCTTTGATTTTTGGTAATTGGGACGCTGGGATGCAAGCAACGTGGTTACGAAGTTTGTTACGAGGATACATCCTGGGATATTATGTAGATTAGCACGAATTTTGTAGATAATTGCTTCATTTTTGGCCTTTGGTCGTGAGCGAATCCATGCTCTGAACTACAGCGAAATGAAATGTCAACAAACTCTTCCAACAACAATATTAGTCCACAACAACAATTTTGCTGCCCAATGTGCGATGAAAAGCAGGCTGACCATGTTGCGAAGTCTCTGGTACCAGGATGTTCGTTGTCCACTATTGGTGACGTTGACTCGCATCGCCTTGGTTCTTGCACCCCTCCAGTCCAACCCTCGTGTCAGCGCACTAACGCATTCGACCAATTCCTGTCCGTCAAACTCGAAATACATGGTAATTGGGTTTGATATTTCTACAGATGCGTCGCGCGTTACTCCATGCAAGCCCTCATATATGCAATCCCGCCCCATCATGATACTGGTACAATGCAGTCTTACAGTCCATAACCACCCCGTCCCTCTACCACACCCTGCACAGCGCCATGCCACCCAACTGCCGCTCCACACATTCCCTCGCCTCCAGTATCCCCCGATCCGTCGTGACAAACATGCACTCTCCCGGCCTCGTCAAACCCTTCACATAGCTCGACTCTCTTGTCCGCGTAATCTTAGCCAGATCCTCGCTCGTCAGCCATATCCTCCGTGTAGGCTTGGATATCAGCTTCATATTCTTCAGCACAGGCTCGTTCTGCCAGTACTTCAGGCCGAGCCATAACCGTCTCCGCGCGGGGTTCTGGGGTACGTGTATGTCGTGGACTTGTTCGGCGCCGAGTGGTGACTTTTGTTTTGTGCCGGCGGGGGCGTCGACGGGGTAGGCGAGCCAGGGCTCTTCTGCGAGCTTCTGGGCCATTTGCTCGTGTTGCTCTGGGTCTTGCTGCGTTTGGAGCAGGAAGGGCTTGGGTGGTGTGGGCCCGCCGAGGGTGACGGAGGAGAGGAAGCCTTCGCGCTGGAGGCCGAGTGCGATGTTGACGTGCATCTTGGAGACGGGTATTGACGTCAGTCCGAGGCGGGCTTTGGACGCATTCTGCATGTGCGAGCAGACGTGGGCGAGGTTGACGAGAGACATGTTGGCGGGTGTGGACGTGGGAATTTGCCCTCGCTGGGCTGCGGCGGTGGGCGAGCGCGATCGGTGTGGGCGGGCGTATGTCCAGTGTATAGAATGGATTCGACAGCGAGGCTCAATGCAGGGCGCGGGTTCAATTGCGCGTGTCGTGGGCGGATGCTCGTGCTCGACGATGCTCGATGCAGCAAATTTCTGGATTGGCTCGGAGGTCCGCAAGTCACGGGTGGAGCAGAGCTGCCCGCTGCCCATTCGGCAGAGCTTGGGCCGGCGCCTACTAAACAAGACACTAACCCGCGGGCGCTTCGAGCACGACGCAAATAGAAGAGCGCGCAGCTGTTGGCTGCACCCGTGGGGAGCTGAGATGACAGCCTTGCGACCCTATATATGTCTTTGATCTCTTTGTGTTGATGTGAGAGTGCTAACTTCCGTCTTACTTCACTACCTACAGCTGACCTCATAACCCACAACTTGGCTTTGAGATATCTTGGACGCCTGATAGACTGCCATCTTACACTAACACCATGCCTCCGCAGCAGGGAGAAGTGTCCCTCTTGACGCTGTGAGTAGTGGTAGCTTTGTACATCTTGATCCTATACTGACTGTGAATAGCTTCGCAGACGTCCACTACTACATCTCCCCGCCTACCCAGGTCCCCCCGCACCACCGCTTCGACAAGAGCTCCTATGTCTACCTCTACCACAACCCTATGCGCCAGAGTGGGCGCATAGAAGTCGCGAACCATGCGGGCACTCCCAACCAGGATGCCTTTTCAGGCCGTGAGTGCTGACACATTTCCCCATGACACACGAGCTGACATGCTGTATAGAGCTGGACACAGTCAAGATCGAGCACACGTACAAACACCCATGTCTGTTCACCCTCACGGTCGACGCGTTCAGGAGTCACAATGGCAGCGCAAGCCCCCACCAAGACACGTCGCAATGGCATCTCCCCACACCCGATCCCTCAAACCAGGGCAAATACATGTACAGGCTGCACACGGTGGACTTGTACTTCTGGACGCCAGAAGACGCGAGCCTCTTCCTCGACTCCATCCGCAGGGTGCTGCAGCCACATCAAATGCAAATTGTGCGCAACCCCAATGCCACACCAACACACTCGGAACACAAGAACGACGCCCTGAGTCCAGTCATCGCAAGGCTGGAAAGCGCAGCCATATCACACACAAGTCGTACTCCGAGTGTTAGCACAACACAGTCGTTCCCCGGGCCTCCCACAGCGCCCGCCCCTACATCACCTCCTCCCAGCGAGCAGCCACCCAACTACGCTCCAATGGCATACAACCCGGCTGCTCCAGCCGCGCCTGAGCCAATTGCTCATCGCGAGAAGACACCACCTCCACCAGACGCCAATGACGGTACGGGACTTGGATCTGCTGCAGTCCACGATCAGCATGCAGCGCAATACGGCAACCCGCTACAAGCTTCGTTCGCGCCTCAACCGACATCAGGGGCATACTTCCCAGGACCACCAGCGCCCGGCCAGGGCTTCACAGGCCCACCAAGTGCATCGCAAAGTCCGCCGTCCTTTGCACCCCCTCCGTCTGCCCCTCCACCAGGCCAATACAACGGCACCCCGCCACCCCCAGCCATGAAGCGAACATCCACAGCACCAGTCCACCAATTCGCCAACTACCCATCCTCGCCTGGCTTCCCTCCTGCCCCCCAATCCCCTCCTGCGCATTCTGCATTACCATCTCCCGGCTTCCCTCCCCAGCAATACCAGCCAATGGCTTCTCCTGGCTACGCGCAATACCAGTACGGTAGCACGGGAACTCCACCACAGGGACAAAACCTGCATCAGCAGCTGTACAGACCGACGGAGAACGAAGCCGCAGTGCAAGACCACGAGAACCCCAACGCACCGCAACGCAACTCCAACATCGGAAAGCGGGTAGATAAAGTGGAGAAGGGGATTGGCAGTTTCTTGAAAAAGTTGGATAAGAAGTTTTAGTCTATCGTGTCATTGAAAGCGCACCCAGGTTCTTGTATCTATTGTATTCATCTTGGAGTTGAATTAGCCAGCGTCGACTTCCATTCAAGTCGTTTACTCCAAAAATATACTGTATACCATTTTGGAAATTTGTTCACGACCGTTATTGCGACCAGCGTTTGTTCAGTCTGTGCCACGGCGCTGTAGATCAAACATGTGAATGCGATCATCCTGCAGTAGATGCGCCAATCAGAAGCCGGCGCTAGTGGGGACCTTGAATCTGGGAGATGGCGCACTAAGAATAGCAGCAGGTTTTGGAGATGACATGAGGCTTGCTTTTGGCGTCTGCCGCTGGCTGGTTGTCATCTTGCATAACTGTTGAGTTGAGAATAGGATTGAATGTGTAAGGCTTTAGGGGTACGGTGCTGCTTTGATACACTATACTGTATCGTACTGCGTTCTTCCTCTCTCGTCGTGCTACAGCCCCTGGTCACAGCTCCATCATCCCGGCAACCGCATCAACACTCAGCCAGCTTGCCAAGACCAACTTCCGGGCGCAGACCTAGCCAGACCATTACTCGCGGCTCTCCCCCATTGTTGTTCGGCCATTCCGTAGTCGCCAAACTATACACCCATTAACCCCCAATATCCTAACCGCATCCACGACATCGCTTCCCGCCGCTTGTTCTTAACGTTTTGCCTTAACCTTCGCACGACACAACGGTTCGACAGCTCCCTAGTGCCAAACAGAACCAGGAAGGCGGGCCTTTGGCAGCCTGGGCGATCCACACTTTCTCCAAACAAGTGATCTCATTGTGAAAACAAGACTCCGGTGACATTTGACGTTTGGACGGGCCCGGTGCATGGTTGTTTGGGTGCCATGTTGTTACCCGCGCGGCATGCAAGGGACGGCGCCCTCGAGAGGAGAGAAGTCTCCAAGCAGGGCAGGACCTTTGTCGTAGTAAGTTTACGCCATCGCTCTACCATACTCTACCACGCACTGGCTAACCCTGCATTCCCCAGGTCGGAATCATCGCCGTCGCCATCTTCGCCATCCTCATAATCACATACTTCTCCACCCTTAAGTTCCGCGCCCCGTACCGCGCCGCAAAGAAAGCACAACAGTCGTCCGCCGACAAACTCCCCTCGTTATTCTCGTGGAAAGCGTTCCGCAAGCGCCCGCGCCGAAATGACTACTCCACCAGTCTGCAGGATACGGAGTACCGGGGGAGCACAAGCAGGGCGAGTGGTGAGATGAGCGGAGCAGCAACAGGAGATCCGGAAAGGCAAATAAACAGCACAACCGGTGCCGGCGTCGACAGAAACACCTCCGTCCGCAGCGTCATGACCCTCCCCGCCTACTCGTCTGCCGCACGAGAGAACGAGCGCGTCCTCGCCCGCGAAGGCGAACGCGGCGGCGTAGACACAGTTCTCGAACTCCCCGAGACCGTCGACGAAGAAGAGCGCCAACGAGAAGAAGAAATGGAATCTCTATACCAAATCCGGCTCGCCCGCCGCATCGAAGCCACCGACCGCGAAGCCCGGCGTCAAGCCCGACGCGAAGCCCGCGCACGAGGCGACGTCCAGGCCCTAGCTGATATACGGCGCCGCGCAGAAGAAGCAGCCGACCTCTCCGTCTCCCAGATGCTCATCGCAGAGCACCAAGCCCGGACCCGGTCGAGAGACAGACGCGTGAGTGCTGTTGCATATGGCGATCTAGGCGTCGCGCGCCACGACGGCACACGCCTCCGAGCCAACTCCTCCGAAAGCGACAACAGACCCCTCCTCGACTCCGCCGCCTCCTTCTCCGGTCAATCCCGCGGCCGTGACGCCCACGCCCGCGGCCTCTCCGTCACTTCTCTTACACAATCCGTGGAATCGCGCGGATCCGACGATTACGACTTTGCGGATGCGTCGCGCTCGAATTCACATTCTACTGCTGGGCCTAGTCCTGGTCCCAGTCCAAATACCGAGGGGTTTGAGGTTGTGAGTTTGAACCCGGAGAGGAGTTATAGTGGGAGTGGGAGTGGAAGTGGAGTTGGCGGGAGTGGAGGTGGTGGGATGGTACCAGGGGAAGACGCGCCTGCGTATGAAGATCCCCCGAATTACGAAAGTCCGATTAATACGAGGGCGCCGCAGTTACCGGCGTTGAATCTGAATTTAGAGAGACTGCCTAGTATACGCGTTACGACGGGTGAGACGCCTGTGGAGGGCAGGGTGGGGTCGCCGTTGAGGTAATGAAAAGACATTTGTTCGTTTCGCAAATCTGTTTCCTCGCATTTGGGGGATTTTCTTCGGAATCAGCGTTTCATTCTTCATCCGTTCAACGAAGGTTATGAAGTGGCGTCAAAGGGAAAGGAGCATATGTATACATAGATAGGTGGTGTGCTCGGGCTGGTCAATGTTTAATCGTATTACATCACAAGTGGGTGCGGTGTTGGTCTTGATGTTCATGGGGTTGAGGCGGTGGGAGGGGTGAAGTAGAGTGTAAGGAGATGCGAAGGCAACAGCATGTGGTATAGCCAGCACATGAGCAGCGGAATTCAGATGGCTCAGCGTGCAAGCAAGAAAGAGTTGAAGATTGACGGTACGTCATGGGCGCGAGGGTGTTGAAGGGCGCAAGGGAAGTAGACGCGATGTCCACATGCACGCAGGTGGGAAACATCCCACAGTTCTTCACTGCTGGTGAGCGTACACGTGATTATTGAAAGAGAGGGTTCTGAGCGGAATTTGGGTCGTTGGGGGAGATGGAAACGAATACTCACGTGCACTCAGGTAGGAAGCTATGGTCCAAACTGGGCATATGCGGGTGACTGGGCTGAAGAGGGTCTTAAGTCGCATCTGAGTTGGTGGGGAGAGGAAGATGGACACCCTTACGCATACAGGTAGGAATTCATGGGTCTTTCACTATTGGTGGTGTGTAAATCGAAAGAGGAGGGCCCGAGCGGTGTGGTCGACTGTGTTTTCTTCAGTTCTACTTTCGGCTCCAGGCTTTATCCACGCCGCTCTTCTGCCAGTCTCAACGCCGCTACCAAAAGTATAGCGATCAACTACCGCGAGCGACCACTGGCTTCAACTTTCAACTTTAAGGCGGTTGCTTTCGTAATTGCAGACTCTCCACTCGACCTCTGTTCATACCACTGTTCTTCCACCACCTCAACGAAGTCGGCCCAACAGTATACAATATGTCCCTCCAGAAGCTATCGACGGAGCTTGATGGCCAAATCGCCAGCTGCCTCGTCGGCGACACTAAGGCTCTCAGCGCCTTCTCCAAGACGAACAAATACTACCGGGGCATTGCTGAGCCATACCTCTATACGAATATCGAAGTGTATGAATCTGAACTTGAAAGGCCACTGCGACTGCTCTTCACGTTGTTAGACCGCAAGGAACTCGCCCTTCACATCAAGAGCTTGAGCTACATACCAGCCCAGCATTGGTCCTCTCACGACGCCGACATAAAGCCGCCGACGAGGAAGAAGCTCCAATATGATGTATGGAATTACACGCACGCGATACAAGAGGTGCTGGATGGAGTTCTCTCTCCAGGATGCGGGTTCTCGGAATTCCTCTCAGCAAAACTGACCTTGTATTGTGATATTCTGACGGCTCCCATGAATCACTATACAGCCAGCAATCAGATTTTCACGCTCATTCTGTTTATGGCGCAGAAGGTCCAGTATCTAGAGCTTGGTCACAAAGAACCACCTACACATGTGTTACGCCTTCTTTGGGCACCTTGGAGTGACGGCAAAGGCCCCTTTCAGAACGTTCAACATCTCGTTCACAACGCCGGTCTTTCTCTGATGCCTTCCATCGTGGTATTGCCAACCCTACGAACATTAGAGTACAATGTCGGGTATCTCGACGTCGAGGCACGACCGACTACATCGATGTTCGCTTATCCATCCCCTATGCCTGCGCAACCCGTCCTCCGCCGAATTCGATTTACGACAACTAGAAACATCACTCCTGCTATAATCCAGAACATGGTCAGCAACCCAGCAATGGCCAACCTCCGAGAACTCGTAGTCGATGACTGCGGACGCAGCAGACGCAATCTGCCTCTCGCTTTGCGTGGCGACAACCTAGCCGAACTCCTGCGAAGCCTAGAGAAACACACCCCACTCCTAGAACTACTCCAGTGGTCAAATCAGAAGTCTGACCGACAAGAAGGCCACCCACGTTTCGATACGTTCAAAGACCTCACAAATCTCCGCCAGTTACACATCGACTTCGACCTCCTCGTCCCCAAAAGCGACACCAACTCCACCAACTTGAAGTGTCTCTCCAACCCCCACGCCATCTTCCCCGCGAGCTTGGAAGATCTGATCTTGGACTGCGTCGATATCGACAAGCTCCACCATCTCGTCACTCTTCTCCACAACATCATTGAAGAAAGCGACGAGATGAGCGAAACTGAAGCACTCCAAATCTGCCTCGCTTCTCTAGCCGCCATGTTCCCTCCACTCAAACGCCTCGCTCTTACTGTGGTCATGGAGATGGATAACCCGAGGGAAGATGCACCTCGCTTGCATGAGTTGGACCCGGTGGATATCACATTCTTCCGGTACGCTGCAGATGAGCTTGAGAAGCTGGGTGTTACACTCGAGGTGTGGCGCAAAGAAGGGTATTATGAGAAGGAGAAGAAGTTGCTGGTGAAGAAGGGGTGGACGGCGCCGTTGCCGCATTCGGTGGTGAAGGCCGTGCAGAAGGCTAGGGGTTGGCGGAATGGTTATGATGATCTCCGGATTTACGGAGTATAGGTCGGGATGGTGATGGAAATGTAGTTGATTACTTGACTGCCTCTGGAGCATATATCGCCTTGAATACAGATCAGTCGTTGATATATAGTACATTGTATGCATCAAACCAAATTTTCTATTGCAGTGCCGTCTCACTTCAGGATCGCGCACGTGACAACGCGCTTCGCTCCTCCGCTCTTTCCTCTGATGTGCACTCACTCCCACTAGCGTCTTATCACCTCACGCTTGCCTGTTGGGTCATTCCTCGTCCTCTCAATCCTTCACAGCCACACACATCTGTAGTGCCCTGCAACACTGAGTCGCCACCATGGTAGCGTCTTCATCGAAAGCGGAGGCCATGATCGACAAGCTGCTGGCCGAGCAAGCAACGAAGACGCTGAGGTGCGCATTTTATATTCCTCTACAGTTAACTTACTTTAGTGTACAATTCTAAAGTTTAGTTCTTCTATCCTATCTATAGTACTGCGATAACGCAAAGCAAGATAAGCTACTTATAACTCCTAAAATACATAACTACTACATACGCAAAGGTACTCCTTATTAATGAGAGAGATCGCAATCCTCAGAGTCTGCCGGCCGAGCTGACCATCGACGTCATGAGCTACCTGCGCCCTCACGATCTGACGCAGCTGGCGCGCGCTTCGAAGCGGTATCGCGAGTTTGCGCAGTCGGTGCTCTGGACGAACGTTAGTAGCGCCACTGTACCGCATTCGGGACATATACTGACACCATTCACTCATAGATCGAGCTCCACCGCCAAGACGCCCACGATAACTGCTTCACCCTTTCCCACAAGCAGCCTCGAAGAGCCTACCTGGACGACGACTTGCTACATCCATGGTGCTACCGCGATTACGACGGGGTGGATGCCGAATACGATACCAGAAACGAGCAGTTTCATGCTGCCATCAAGGATATGTATGCGTCCAATGGCAAATCTGAAGCTTGGAATCGGATCAAGCCGGTCGTACGACACCTTTGCCTCACGGTAACGCATGAGAGCCCGCCCCAGATCTGGAACATGATACTGTCACTTCCTAATCTCCGTACGATTGAGATCATTGGCGAGTACTCCGAAGATCGGAAAGGCCCGCCTACAGCTCAGCTGGGCCTCCGGCATCCGGCGGCAACCAGTGTACAGCATGTACGTCTGAGAGGCTATGTTCCCGTGGAGTTTGTTTCGGCCATCTGCAGGGCTTCAGCGTCTACTATCGTCAGTCTTGATTTCGGCGCGCTCGACGAACCAGAGTTCTTCAGAGGCCCCGAAGAGGCACAACTGCACTTTTATGAGAGCTGTGAGGTCTACATTGGTCCCCGAGGTAGCCTATGGCACGATGCAGCGTGGCCTGAGTTCGCCTCGCTCACTCATTTGCTACTCTGTAAGCCTGTTTGGTTCAATGGATTCCGCAAGAGACCCAATGATCTTGACTACGAAGCCCCTCAAATGAAGCAATGGGCGTCTCTGCTGCGATCTATTCGTCTCACCGCGGTAGAGATCGTGCTGGAACACCGGAAAATATTCGTCGACCGCCATGACGAGGTCGATGAGCACATCAAAGCGGATGAAGACGTCAAATGCCCCCCTGATATCCGATTTCGTCATCGGGTGGTGGAGCAAGCTTTCACCGAACCATGGCCAAATCTCAAGACCTTGACCTTCCGTGGCATGAGCTCCGCTAAAGGCGACTACTGGCCTAAAGCAGGACCGGATGAATCCCTAAAAGACTATTTAAGGAAGCTGTTACCAGGAGTTCAGGTGAACCAGATCCTAGGCAACTACATGTTCTTCAACACTGAACGTGGCACAATTCTCAACCAACATGGCGCCGACGGACTGAAAGTGCATCTCGAGTTCGACGGAAAACACGATCTTGAGGCTCTCTACGACAGTGACAATTTCACTGATGAGGACGATTGGGAGTGGAGGAAAACTTCGCTAGACTACTTGTATCACCTTTCAACGCGCGAATAGAGATAGTCTGTATCACTTTGCTGCATACACAGAGTTCTACAGGTACAGATACGTAGTATAGAAGACAATGTATACCCCAAGTCCCAATATGCAGTTTAGTTTCTTCAATACAAGCGTCCATGTAGGCGGCAAGCGACACGATCTCTCTGACCACGAACCCTGTTCATGTAGACGTTGGTACCAAAACAAACCCCCCCCTGATTATATCATCGATCTAGCATGCATTAAAATAAATACAGGCTCCTGGATAGACTACCACGTACCTACGCAAGGTAGCATAAGCAAAGTGAAAGTGAAAACGACACAGCACTTGCCGCTTGCGAGTGACCGTCAGTGCGTTTCGCAGGCATCGCCCCGTATCCAAAACAATAGTGACCGAATGAATCACGTGCTAGCTGGTCCTCACGGTGGGTCTGGTCTTCCAGCAACACCGCAGCCTCTGGAACCCACCTCCACCTGTCCACTGCCACGCTCAACAATTCGATCGCGAATTTGCGAGCTTCCAAAAGTCTTCAAACAATAACGTCTCGCCATACCCACGGCTGGTAGTCACCTGAATTCTGCCATGTCTCAGCTACCGTCCACGCCTGCGACGCTACCGCGCCCACCGAAGCGCGCGCAGGAAGAAGAATTAGTTGGGCCGATCAAGCGACAGCGACAACATGGACTTTGGACGCCGCCTGAAGATTCCAGCAACGTCCACGATTGCTACACCCAAACATCCTCGCTTTACATTCCGCGAACAACATCGTCACCCTTTGTCCATCCTCCGTACTTAAGCCCGCCGCATACTGACCCATCGGCTCCACTGAACCCACGGGGATCCAACCCAGGAGATACGCCTTCCCAGGACGGCTTATATACTCCAACGTTAGGATATATACACGGCAACAACGAACAGTATGGTTCCAGCCCCCCGTCACGGCCCCCGACAGCTCCTCAGATGGGGTTTGGGAATCTATACCAAAGCTATGGATCTCACGTGAACCGACACCCTGCTCGAGTGGTACAGCCTGACTATGCGTGGGGGCTATATCGACCCCAGACTGCGCGCGGGTACGAACGACAACAAGCCACGCTGCCTACAACAATTCAACAGTCTGCACCAACGCTACAGCCTGAGTGTGCACCGAGACTTCGTGTACCCCAGACTACGCCTAGTCATGGGTCAACTGGCCCCATGGCACCTACAATGCCTGCAGAGGATCCGCGTCCGCAACAGCAGCAACGATATGTTCAGCCAGTCGTTGGTACACAAATACCATACGAATACAGTGCTACCCCAGTCGCAGCCACACAGTGTGCTTCTCACCAGACGGGTGTAGAAGGACTTCATCGCGGTATCCAAGCTCCCGCTGTGAATGTGCAGGCCGCGCGAACGACGCCGCGCACTCAGCAAGAGCAGTGGCTCATCAATGCGCATCCAGACCTCCAAAGAAAGACCGTGACGGTCATACCAGCTATTCCCGCGAAGCAAGGTACTATCGGAACTGCCATTGAGCGCAAAGATGAGATGCTCGTACCACGCGATGTGTGGCGCCTACGCTCCCTGCCTTCCTACAAGCGTTATGTCGCATACCGCCAAATGGCAGAGCTAGGACGTCAGATGAGCGAGTATGACCAAACTAGTAAAGAAAATCAGTCGCTATGGAAGCGTATCACAACCTTCGAAGCGAGCTTGATTGAGGCCGAGGTGGAGTTTGCGAATAGACACAAGCAAGATACAGCCGAAACTAGGGCGAGGTGGGACCGTATCGTAGCGGCTCAGGCAGTTGGGACTCTAGTCGACCAGGATATGGTAGCTGCCTATGCCCAGTATTGCGGCATTGCATCTGCGACGTCCCCGGTGGATGTCGCAGTCACAACTCAGTCACCCACATCTGATCAAGTTCTAGCAGGGCAGAATCCACTACCACAGCCCCAGACTTCTGGAGCTCCTGCGCCTATCGTTACTCCATCAGTACCGATAGATACCATCAGACCAGACCAGGTAACACATCCCCTGGATAAGGTCCAAGTTCCTCCATACCCTGGCGAGCTCGAGGACTTCACACCACACGAAGTCACCGGGATGTACAAATGCAACCACCAATTCGAGACCGGGCCCTGCTGCACAGAAGGAGTCACAAAGGAAAGAAAGAGAGCCTCAATCTCTAGGGATAAATCAGCGTGGAAACGGAAGGTGGAATACTTGGTCAAGAAGGGCGACTTGGATAAGAGCCATATAACATGGAAGCAGGAACAATCACCCAATAAGGGGAAAGACCACAAGACGAAGAATGCGGAGAAAGAGCGACTGCGGGGTGAAAAGAAGGCGGATGCCAGCGCGAAAAAAGAGGCGAGAAAGGAACGGAGTAAAGCATGGCGCGAGCAACCACGCGATGCGATCAATGCAGAAGATGCGCCCGAAGCTATTGCGGCACCAAATTCGCTCGAGCAGAACTACTCATCAGCTTCTGAACTTGATCCTGAGCTTTCTCCAGAAGAACAGGCTGCCGCCGCTGATACCGCATTTCAAGAGGAAATTGCAAAGAAGCTCAAAGACTACGAGCGCGAACTCAAGTACTGTAGGCGTCTTGAGAGGATGAAGAAGTGGCCTAATTGGCCACGCTTCAATGAATATTGGGAGGTCAAACATCTTGAGGCTCAGGGTTTGCAGCTCTCGCCAGAGCAGGTAATCATCTCGAAGGGTGATGAACCGTCTGGTATTCCAGACAAGAATCCCGCGTTTGTGAAGAAGAAGGCCGAGGATAAGGAGCCGGTGCCGGTTCAAGAGCCGGTAGACGCGGAAGAGGGCATTGAGGAAGATGATTCGGACTTGGATGAATTGTTCGAGGATACGGGAGAAAACGTCGAGCAAGACGACACGAGCTTGGATGATCTGTTTGATGATGATGGCTCAGAGTAGTAAAGGGTACTTCCGGATCTTAGAGAACTCTCTTAAGAGTGCCGACGTCAAGGGTCGATACCACAAGGTCTAGCAAGGCCACAGCGACAGCCTTGGTGGCCGAAGACAGTGTCACATAGATGACAAAATGAAAGCCACCACGCGCATGCAACGTCGCCCGTCATTGCTGGCCTGAAAAACAATGTCCTCGCATCGTGAAGTGGAAGCTGAAGTATGGATTGATCGCACCGATGTCTTCCTCACAGCGCTCTTGAAACGCCCTTGTGGTGAATCGCATTGTGCAGGCCTGTGCTCAACACCAACTTCATGACGTTCTCCAGTACTAACGATGTCGTTGTACTTGGTACGTGCACGACGTCACGAAAGGAGAACCTAGTTGTAGTTCTCTTCACTCTGGGAAGAATGCACAGATCCTGGAACCTAGATAGTCAGTCCAGTACTTTTATACAGGCCGCTGGGGTCATACCACTAGACACTGCTGTCTACCTGCCCATCCAGAAAGTCTTGTTACTCTTATAACAAGATGCAGTCTTACGCGCACAACAAGGGCAACTACGTCTACGTCCGCCGCAAGCGCACAAGATCGGTCGAAGTCCGCCGCGCAGATGATCTCCGCCACTCCCTATCCTCTTTATCATCCGAGGAACGCATCTTGCATTACGTTGGCGAGGAGCGCACCCGCGTCTGCCGTTGTCACGATGCGGGACGACATGGCGAGAGGACGTCCACCGTAGCATGCGAATCGAGGCATCTGAGCGCCAGCATAATGCTATACCTGGACCGCCACGGCCTTGAATCCTGCAGCTTCGCTGACTTCCGGAAGTATCGCGCAAGCCGAGAGGCGAAATGGGCGATGGAAGGCGTATTTGTTGAAGACTTTCACTATACCAGCCGGAACAAAGACTTCGTATGCCGCTGCTCACAACCAAGAAAGCATAGCTATCAGACGCCGCGCCATCCTGAGATCGTCGAGCAATGTGCGGAGTTCTTTTGTATGCACAAGGATAAGAACACTGTTACGAAGGATCAATGGAAGGGCGTGAATGGCGATGAGCCACCAGCGTACACACCCAGTGTAGACTTCCTATCCGGTTCCGTGGAATCCGGTTCCATGACCTTCGGTTCCATGACATCCGGTTCCATGACATCCAGTTCCGTGCGTAATTCGCGGCCAAGCTCGTCCGGACATGCTGGGGAAAAGTCTAGGCCACGAGCCTCGCTAGAGACGAGGATACGTGACACTGCCGAGCGTATTTCTTCGATCATCCCAGGCCGGCATCGTAGTGCTTCGATTCCAGCACGGGGGCCAGAGATGCCCCCTCAAGTATGGCAGAGGGGTCGTCCATCGGTCTTGATCTCTCAACACGGTAACTCTTCGCGGGAGAGTACGCCCATGGGCTCAGCTCCCCCATCTACGCGCGCAGCCTCACCAGCAGTGCCGCAGACGCGCCATCATAGAGTCGATTCCGTTCACGATACGTCCTCGATCTATGCAGATGCCCAGGCCACGATGGGTATGTTTCCCGGAATCCAGACAGATGCAAGTGTAGCAAGGGCTAGAGATATGCTGGGTGTGACTGGTCTGTACACGAACAAGACGTACCTTCCCACATCCACTAACCTATCTGTAGTGAGCGGGCAGTCCAGTGTTGGAACCATTAAGAGCGAAAGGTCGCCACCTTTTGCCTATGACGAATGGTACCAGGGCAACCCACCTCAATGGGTGGCTGAGAAGGACAGCGAAGAGCTACTACCGTCGACTTTCTACGTAAACGGCGATAGGGCGAATGCTTTCGGTTTCGATGCGTCAGCGACTCATAGACCAGTGGCAGAACTTCCCGCGCGTAGATCGCCAATTGAACTTCCCGCTCGTGGGTCGCCAGTCGAACTTCCAGGTAAGCCAGCACACCAACGGCATACTGCAACGCTAAAGAAGCTTGAAGGTCGAACTTGGGATACGAGGTCAGAGTTGGAGGCCAAGGTCAAACGCTTCAGCGTTCGGTGCACAGAGGCACCCCCTAGTACGTCCACTCCTGCACACGACACCGAACGATTAAGCTCACGTTTCCACAAGGCTTCCGACACCATCCCGTCTTCACTTCCTGATCAGGTGGATTTCCTTGAGCGTTGTGCTGTGCCGAATTCTTGGAAAGACCCTACACCTCCTGGGAATTGCCAGTTGTGCTTCAAGTCTTACCATGACGCAGACAAGAATCCTGTCATAGCACCTCCCTGCGGTTGCTCCATGCATGATCGATGTCTCATGGACAATCTGCGTACGCTTGATGAGAAAGTCGGCAGGTGCCCAATATGCCAGGTGTACTTGTGCAACCGTAGTCTAGCCGAGCGCATCGGCAATGACATCGAACAGATCTTTGAATTGCAAGTCAATCCATTACGAGAAGAGGTCACCCTCGAATTCCCACAGCGAAGCAAGGGCATAATATGTAGTACGGAGGAGGGCGTTGCTGTCACGCAGCTTCGTCTACTCAAGGACTACGTCGATGTCCATGCCGAAGAACTCTTTCGTCTCTGGGAAGGCAATCGTGCAGAACCCGACTGGTTTGGAAGCGTAGTACGTCCCGCCGTCCAACTCTTCCAAGGGTGGAACCCCGCTATGCGAAGCCGCTTTTTCTCAAATGAGGACGCTTTCCTCAAACTCCTCGCATGGGCAGAGTTGGTGCGCTTGATGAACATCAGCTGTGCGAAGAAGAAACAATCCGGGTGTAGCGATGCACAGTTCCCACGATTGGGAGAGCTACATCGTAAGTTTCTAAAAGCCGTGGAGCGATACAACAAAGAGAAAATGGCCTGGGATACGAGTCGCTCTGGTGTTTATGAACACGACAGGATCGCGACGGATATTGTCGACGTCGCGATGAACACTCAGGTGCCGTAGACAATCATATAAAATACTACAAATGTAATTAGTTCGCATTCACCGAAGTATCACAAAGCCATGGATCCGAAAGTACATACGCGTCTTAACCCAGTCAACAGCTGGGCGATCCCGGTCTGAACTGGTCTTGCCCTACGGCACGCATAACACGTTGGCGACGTGTCACTTGATCAATACCGACTCGACAGGACGTGCGGAGATGACGATCTGTAGTATGAAAGGTTGGACGCGCCTCGGCATCGTCTGATGGCGTGACAGATGAAACAAGACGCGAGGCGAGGATCTGATTAAAAGCGCGGCGGTCCGTGCACGAAGAGCTCCACCACGTCACGTGCAACGATTGTCCAGACTCCACAAGCATCGAGCTGCGCTCTGCCCAAGACCAATGCGATACTAGATGCGACGCCCAAGTTTACTTTCACTCGGTAGTGCTATGTAGGAATCCTGAATAGGCCTCATGTTGAAGGGCAGAGTCATGACGTCATACCCACCTGTCCTCTCGAACTTCTCCTTCACACACGAACCTGAGCGCGTCGCTACTCCCACAGCTTTCGTGCCTCCACGATGGACGACCAATTCGTCCTGGGGCCACCTTCGTCAACGCTAGATGCGAGCGCACCCGTAACTTCATCCACATGAGTACCGGACGCCCCTTGCCATATCACTCGTCCGCACGATAGAGCTGCAATACTGTGCACTCAGCTTATGACCACCCACCTCTCCTAAGAGTGACGATGCCTTCACAAGCATCAACCTCACATAGCGTTCGGCAGTCGTTCCTGAGAGCACCACATGGACCAATCTCGAGGTAATCCAAGCCTCCGGCTATTCTCCCAAGGACAAAAGGCACTGGCTATAGCACGGCCACCGTATACCCTGCCGGATTAATTACTTCCAAACGTCAGCCCGCTGAACGACTGACTCCCCACATCATTTGCGCCCACCGCATTGACAGAGCAGTCGCCTTTGCTGAAATTGAGAACTAATTGCAGTACGCAATGTAACCGAAATGCTTAATTCGAAATGCCAGATGAAGGGTTCAAATACCGGTTGTCAGCCGCATTGCGACAACATCATCCCAGTCAATCGAAACTTTGTTTCTTGCCATGATGTTTTACACATCACTTCTATCCGTCGCTTTTGCGACGCTTTCTTTGATCTCGCCCACAGTTAATGGGCGTGCCATTGACGCGGTTGAGAAGAGACAGGATGGATCGCATTGGATCAACACCTGGACTAGTATGCCACAGTTGGTGGAGGCGAGCAATATGCCGCCAGCACCTTTTGTACGCGATCTGAACTTCCCCAATTAAACTCCAGAATTTCTAACATGACCATAGAGTTCCGGAAGCGTAATGCGCGATGCGACACTTCGCCAAACCCTTCACATGTCCGTCGGCGCACCGAAGATCAAGATCACCATCTCCAACACCTTTGGCGGTTCCGACCTTCCCATCACCGCAGGTTCTGTCGGTCTTCCTGCAGCTGGCGCTGCGGGCGTCAGTGGCATGCAAGCTTCGCCAATAGCAGCCATTACCGTTGGTGGCAAGTCTAGCTTCACAGTACCCAAGGGTCAAGTCGTTACTAGCGATGAGATTGCCTTCGAAGTCAAGCCTCAAAGCATGCTCACTGTAAGCTTGTACAGCCAGCAAGGGCAGAGTGGAAGCAGCATCACCGGTCATCCCGGCAGTAGGACGACAAGTTGGTTCGTGAGTGGTAACAAGATCAATGCTACGACTTTCTCTGGTACATCAAGTGTGCACTGGTACTTCGTCAGCGCAGTCCAAGCCTACGTACCAACCACCACGCGCTCTCTGATGGTCCTCGGTGACAGCATCACCGACGGGCGAGGTTCAGACGACAACAAGAACAACCGGTAAGCACTACTCGACCCCGCAAAAACTACTTCCAGTCTAATACCCCCGTAGCTGGCCCGACCTCGTACTCGCTCGTCTCCAATCTACAAACCATACCAACATCGCCGTCTGCAACCAAGCCGCCGGTGGCAACACCGTTCTAAGCGGCGGTCTCGGCCCACCTCTCCTCACCCGATACAAGCGCGACGCCATCGAGCAACCCGGTGTGAAGTGGGTCATGGTCTTCGAGGGCGTCAACGACATCGGCGGTAACGTCAATACGGCTGCTGCGCAGACATCTGTCGGCGACCGCCTCATTGCTGCGTTCAAGCAGATTGCTGCTGATGCGAAGACGGCTGGTTATACGACGATTGGTGGTACGATTGCGCCTTTTGCGGGTAATGGGTATGCGGGTATTGAGAGGGAGAAGACGAGGAAGAGGGTGAACAAGTGGATTTTGGAGAGTGGAAACTATGATTTCACGGTTGATATTGCGAGCATGGTTGCGGATAAGACGAATCCGGAGAGGTTGGACAAGAGGTATGATAGTGGTGATGGGTTGCATCCGAGTGTTGCCGGGTATCAGGCTATTGCTGATGCCTTTCCCATTGAGATCTTCAAGAAGTAGACGCTAATGGGAGATAGCGCTTGGCGTAAAATATGTTCCTCTTTCAACATTACAAGAAATCATTGCGGAAACTCGTCACTGACGTGCATTTGAAACTGAGGATATGATTCGCTCGCCACTAATACCCGTTGTTGAATGTTCGTCTTGATGAATCGCTTAGTCCGTTCGCTATCATTCCTTCGCCTTAGACTCCCAATACAAGCGGTGTTTCTCTAGCACATGTTGAAATTGAGGCTGCTCAGACACCATTCGCTGCAATCCAGCAATTGCTTCACTTGATGGCTCGCATTTGACCATGTTAAGCAAACTATCAATGAGACCATGAAGTTCACGAAACATATTGCATCGTTGTCCAGACTGCCAAAAGCTGACACAAAACTCTCGGACGCCCGGTGGCAAAGGCTCTGCTGGCATATCAAGGTTTGGTGTCAGGCCATTCGCGTGACGTCTTGCTATCTCCAGATAATCGGCATCGTGCTTGACAGCAAGATCTCGAGCTGTCTGACCGTCCGTTCTTTTAGCCTCAATATCTTCCACAGTCATGCTTTCTGCCAGTGCGGTAAGGATTGCAGGTCTGTTCTCGTCGCCTTGTTGCATTTGGCTACAAAGCCAGTGCATTGCGTTCTGACCAGACTCGTCATACAAGCGCGCATTAGCACCTTTGCCAAGGAGATAAGCGACTAGGCTGGAAGCCCCGTTTTTGCAGGCGATGTGTAACGGTGTTACGCCAGTGGAAGTCTGGATGTTGACAGCTGTTCCAAATGTTTCCACGAGTGTGATGACAGGGTTCCACACCGTCTCTTCGGAGTCGGAGTCCGAATCTTCATAAAAGTCGTCCTGAAACGAGCCATTGATCGCTAGACAGGATTTCCGTGTGGCAATATGTAGGGCAGATTCTCCGTTTCTGTCCAACATGTGATTGACGATCTCAGAAGACTCTGCAAACTTGCTGAAGACATTCCAGCAATGCCGCAGATCGGACCCATGGGATGTTGCCAGTAGATGGAGAAAGGTACGGCCATTCTCGTCAGTCTCGTTGATGGAACCACCTTCTCGTAAAAAAGTACTGAGTAGGATGTGCATGACTTCGGGCTGCTCAATGGTAGCAGCGATATGGACAGGGGTTCCACTCCATTTCGCCAAGGCTTGACCGATATCCTCTTCATCTTGATCGAAGTCACCGAAGTCACGATCCAATCCGTCTAGCATACTTTTCGTAATACGAGTAGAAGACTGGACTCTGGTTCTTGATCCATGACGAATGAGCATTTTGACAATGTCAGCTCGACTTTGGTAAGCAGCGATGTGCAAGGCTGTCTGTCCGGTCACATCTCGAGCGTTCGCATCGGCACCCTGGACTAATAACCATTCAATGACGTGCATATGGTATTTAGCTGTAGCGTAGAAGAGAAGTGTTCGATTATCACCGTCTCTGATATCCAGCTCCATGTGGCATTGGTGGTGAGCGTACTTGAGGAATGCAAGCAGGCCGTATAGGGCAGCGATATGTGCCAGCTTGACTCCTTTCACCGGTAGATGATCGCACGTTGTACGGCACTGTAGTTGCAACCATCGAGTATGATATTGGTCGGTTGAGTCAAGTATCGGATGGTAACAGTTGAGGCGATGAAGGTTTCCACCATGGCACATGTGTTCCAGGCTGTGATATATGGCGTAATGCAATAGCGGGTGTTGAACACTCATTACTTGATGGTTACTGAGATCTTCGAAACGAACATCGTCATTCTGGACGGAGTCAAAGCTTTGCAAGATCTGGTACTGGTAGTCAAAGAGGCGCCGAGTTAATCGGTCATGTGTGGCGGCTGCCTGGAGACGAAAGGTTCTCAGATCGGGATCATATTCTGAAACGTTTTGAAGGAAGTCCAACAGAGATGAATGCACCAGTGTAACGCTGGTTCTTACCATTTCGTGGTTATCTTTGTCAACCCGCGTCGCTATCGTCAATAGATCTGCAGCATAAGCTACCTCATCCTTGATCGCCTCTTCCAGGGTTTGGCCCCTCGCAGGCATTGTGCCGACGGCGGTAGCCAGCTCGACGAGGCTTAGTGGACGGAATGTGGTCGTGATCCACTGCAAGATTGCCATAACCTTGTCTCTTTCATGCTCGGAGATTGCCAACAACATGCGACGGTACATGGCATCGAGTCCACGAGGGAAAGATTCAACAGTACGTTCCATGTCGATAACCCGCACTTTCTTCAAAGCGTTGATGGCGAAGCTGATCCATAGGTAGGTTCCTTCCGATCGATCGCACAGCCTGTTCTTGATGTACTCTCGTGCTTCAGTTGGGCATTGCAAAGTGGATATACGATCGTCGACGAATTTGGAGATATCAGATCCAACATGTTGCTCGTTGTCGGGTTCAAGACGCAGTCGGGGGAATGTGTCCATTGCTTGCTGAATAGAATAAGGGTGGTTCCGGCTGACAACGAGAAGCTTCAACGAATGAGAAGAGCGTTCGGATTTCTGTTGAGGTTCAGATTTGTAGAGGCTTTCGATCTTCACCCAGAAGTCCTCGAGACCGTCTTCGTCGCACTCGTCTAAACCGTCGAGAAGGCATGTAATGGGTATGATGTTTTTGTCGTGCAACATCCTAGCGAAGATATTCCAGAGGGCTTGGAACTTTCTGTCTTCAAATAGACTAGCTCCATGCTTGTCATAGTCATCCAAGACATGCTCGAATAGCGATGGATATTGAGAGAGTAGCTGATAGATAAGGCCACGGAGGATAGATGCACCGTTGTTCCGTCCGTGATCTCGACTGCAAAAGAAGTGGACGACACGTGCAGCTGAAGATTCGCCTTTCAGACTACTGACGAGATGGAGAGAAAGCATAGTCTTTCCCTTGCCGGCATCTCCGGAGATCCATAGTAGGCCGTGCGACTTGGAGATCCAGCTCTTGTATACGTCGGTCTCCGAAACCCACTCACAGGTGCCTAGTGTTTTCGGTCCTTTGCGGTCTTCGAGCATCTGCCGATAGTCGTCTGGATCGTCCCCCAAAGCTGCCAGGAGGTCTTTCAGACATGATTTGCGCGCGGCATCCTCCTGTGTAGCCGTGTGAAAATGGTTGATGTTACCGACGTGTGAGCCGTCTCCAGTGATGATAGACCCTTGGTTCAGGGTAGACCCGTGGGTATTGTCCCCAATGAAAGTGGATGAAGCATTGTCGCTCATCCTTGGCTACTCGTCGTGTCTTGAGCATCTAGTGCCAGACATCCCGTTCTCTAATGAGTCGAAAGGTTATGAGTTTGCTGTCGACAAACTCGCATCGCGTGGTACTGCGCTGTCCCGGCTTGGCTCATAAAATCGTGCATGTTTCCGCAAACTTCCTTGTAAGCGAGAATTCTCGTTGTCGCGCAGACGACGAGCAACATCCATTTAGGTCGTGCTTGTCAAAAGCATCACCACTCAAGTTTGAAGTCCTCGGCACCCTCTTCGGTATCCGCCTTCTTCCAAAGCTCGTCTCCTCCAGCGACTCCATTCTCATCGATACCCCAAGAGTCATTCTCGACTTGCTCCCACCAATTGATCAAAATAGCAGTCAACGGCGTTCCCCAGCCAGGTACGAAGGGATTACCTATACCGCGACGATACAACACATCCTGACCCGGCTCATATGCTTTGACTTTGGTATCATCACCTCGCAGAACATGACCGTTACCCCCCAGAGGAAATGGAAGCAATAACGTGCCGCAATACGAGTAGAAGTCGTCGGGTTGAATGTATAGTCCTCCGCGATTGTCCAAAATGCTAGATCCACGTTGAGGCTTCCAATTCTCCTGGTCGCGTTCGGAAATGAGCTCGATGCCTGGTGTGCGCCATGGGAAGAGCAGAAATAGATGACTCTCAGATGTCCCGTGTTGCGGTTCTTCGAGAGTAGCATCTAGGTGTCTGTTTTGCATCTCCGCTCCTACGCGATGGATGAAGTCCTCATCAGGTACGTCGATTTGCGGTGCGATGGATTTGAACGGAGGTTTCTTAGCTCTTGAGAGGAAGGTGCGCACGAATGGCGGAATCGCTGGGTACTTATTCAAGATCTCGGTAGAGATCAAAGGTTCTTCGTGCTTCCTCCTCTTCTTGCGCTGGGGTCCTTCGTCTTGTTTCTGGTCTTCATCCTTGTGTTTTCCCTCTTGCGTCTCGGATGCAGGCATCCTCTTCGCAATGACATCAACCAATTTACCCCACACATCCAGCACCTGATCCATCTCTTTCTCCGTACACAGCTCAACTCTCCACCCCTGCGTCGCAAGATTATCAGGTTCGCCAAACCCAGGGTTCTGCGTATCTATAACAAACTTGCCAGATTCGACGCAGTCCCAATAGAGTTGTAGAACTTCATCAAGATCAGCCCACGGAAGCTTCATCTCATCGGGTGTATAAGGTGAGGTAAATGCGTCTTCCAAGTAGGTAACCTGCTGCGTTTCTAGATTGTAAACTAATCCAGCTGGATCATAGCCCGTGTTCTGGTACAGCACGATGAGATCAGCGTGGTCATCATCCCAATCCTCCCATGATTGGGTTCGCAAACCGTAACGACCGTGAGGGTTCACAATGCCAACGAGGACTGGGTTGAAAGCCAGATGGTTACTGGCTTCGTTGGGTACGACTAGATCGATGCCAGATAGGAATTTCGTCAGTTCGTCATCAAGATCGAATTCGAAGCCTGGGGAAGCTGGATCTAGTGAGTGTACGGCGAACCAGTTGCGCTGGATGATGGGTTGGTGTTCGGGTGGAAGGTGCGAGCGAGCATGGGCGACAATGCGATTGTGCAACTCGATGGACTTTGCGACGTCCCAACTCATGCTAGAAGTGATGGCAGAAGAAAAAGTAAGAGGTTGTATCCAAAGTACCATGGAATAAGTTGAAGGTTTCCAGGCAGAAGCTTGCGCGAGTGTCGAAGGAGCCGGGTAGCCGAAAAACGCACAGATGTCATGGCGCGTAGGGAAGCTGCTACTGCCTAACCCGGATAATCAAGACGAGAAGTCACGAAAAGTAGATCGACTGGTATTCAAGTATAGACGCTACAGAGCATAACCGCAACCATGCCATGCCATCATGACCATATAATCACCAACCATAAACCTATCAAACACCCAAACAACCCATCACTCCTCCATCTTCTCCCCACCAACCACCCCCGCATTCCCCTCCCCCAAATGCTTCAGCAGCCAACTCCTCTTAAAATACGTATTCGGATGCACAATCGTATCCAAATCATTACTACTCCAACTCCCCTCCTCCTTAACCTTCTTAATCTCCTTCTTGTGACTCCACTCAAACACACGATTGCACGCAACATGATACCTCTGTTTCCCCACATCCTCTTTAACCGTCTTGAGCACATCTCTATCATTGACACCAACGCGCTGCAACATCGTGAGCAGGTTTTCGGGCGTGAACGTGCGGTAGGGGCAGCCGTGCGATTGACCAGCACCAGGCAGGGCCTCGGTGAGGAGTTTCTGGCAGGAATACGGCGTGTAGCCGCGGCCGCGACGGTTTGCATCGCCGCCTACGTCGCCGTAGGCGTGGCGGATGTTGTATTTGTATTCTTTTTGGAATTTCTCGTCGGTGATGAGCTTGAAGCTGCGGCGCCAGAAGACGAGGCATTCGTCGAGGCTGAGGCCGATGCCTTTGAGGAAGAGGGTGTATTGCAGACGGCCGAAGTGTTTGAGGTGCGAGTCGTCGCGCAGTCTGTTGTGCAGGTTGCGCATGCAGAGGGGGAAGTGTTGGGAGAGTGTGTCGATGCTGTTTGCGGTGATGGTGGAGAGACCGTCGATGTTGGCGTCCGAGGTGGAGTAGGCGGCGTCGGGCGTTGTGAAGGATTGGGAGAGGTGGGCGAGGATGGGGGCGAGGCGGTCGTCTTCGTCGAGGCGGGGGAGGGCGCGGGCTGTCAGCTACATGTTTGTTAGTAATGCCTCCCGTGATGTGTATAGCGGAGTCCATACCTCTAGTGCCTCATCGAGCTTCTTCGTAAACTCAGCAACCACCAGACTCATTTGCTCTCGTTGCGGAACATACGCCATTCCCCTCTTCAACAGCACCTTCCGTTGCGCAACAAGTTCAGGTACCCTCTCCCAATCAACCTTGAACCACTCCTGGTCCTCAGTCTTCTTGATACCACTCGCCGCATGTAACTCGTCCCTCAACTCCCGCTTCTCATCTTCCTTGACCTCTGTCCAATCCAGATTCAGGCTGTTCACAAATTGTTGCCTTTCTCGTAGATCATCATCCTTGAACCGCAGCGTAAACAGCATAGTCTCTAGCCGCGAAAACCGCCGTCGCAGGTCCTCTGTTGACGAAAACGCAAGGCGCAGTATGAAGTGTGAATAGTGGTCTCTCCTCCGCTCTTCTTGTAGTTTCTGACTTCTTGAGGAATCCGATCGCAGTGGAAGGTACTTCTCCAGTATGCTCTTCATGTATTCGGCGGTCTCTTCGGGGCCTTTGTTGCGGAAACTGCAGGCTTCCAGTTCGGAGAGGACTGTGTCGCACGCTGTTAGCAATATCCGGCAGTCATCATGAGAAGTGCATACCCTTCAGTCTGTTGATTGCCCATGTCTCGAACTCTTCCAATGTGATCTCTGCAGTGGGTGGCAGCGTGTAGAAGTTCAGTCGGTGTTCATAGTTCTGCTGCTGGAACTCTGCTTTCTTAAATTGTTGCCTCTTAGGATCGATTTGCGCGCGTCGCTTGGGGTCAACTCGAGAGTAGTCGTGGCGGATCATGATGTTGAGGTTTCGTGCGGTGTTCGGCGGCTTGCACGTCTCCACGGTTGATGGGGGTGTTAAAGTGGCAGGCGCGTTCGCGTGCACGCGTAAAGCACGCTAGCCACATGTAGCGCACGCGCTGTTCGCGTGTCTGATTGGGTCATCATTACTTGCCATGTTCCCAGACCCAGCGGTTCAGAATGGCATGCGAGTCTTAGCATCGTTTCCCTGTATTCTATACCGAACCCTATCTATGCCCTTGCAACCCTGCTTCTAGGTGCAGCCCTGCTCTCCTCACATCATTGCTCAGCCCATGAGGTCACCCAGCGCGTTCACATAAGCCATGGGAACAGTTGTCGCACCCTCAGCCAGGAAGTCCTCCTTCTTGCTAACGCCAGTAAGCACAGCCAGAGTCCCGCCCAGCTTTCCATCAATACCGAACTGGATATCCGTGTTCAGTCTGTCGCCCACCATGCATGTTCTACTTCGGTCGAACTTGAACTTGCCTTCTATCGCGTCCATCATCGCCTGACTCGGCTTACCCAAAGACAACGGGGCTCGACCAATCGCTCTCTCAAGCGCAGCGCCTGATGCACCAGCACCAGGGAACAGAGAGTGCGCATTTGGCAATGTGCTGTCGATGTTGGTCGCGAGATATACCGCGCCACGTTGTAGGTACTGGAACGCGATTGCCGTCTTCAAGTAGTTGGAGTGGAAGTCCAGACCACTCAGCACCACGCCGACATCTGGATCGAGCAGGCTGCCATTTGCAATAGCCTCAAAGTCCTCTGGCTGCCGGAACTCACGCCGGTAGGCAGGGTCTGTACCACCAATGTATGGGACACCTTCAGCTTCGAGCTCCTGTTCTACGCCTGATTCTCCTAGCACGAATACCTTGTTCTTCGGCGTGGGGAGCTTGAGGATGCGAGCGATGTATACGGCGGCGCTGTAGGACGATCCGAAGACTTCTTCCTGATATCGTGTCAGCCGATGGTCATACTCTGGGCTCCGGCTTACTTACCACCTGGGCGGGGATACCAAGTTTTTCAAACTTCTTCTTGTAGTCTGCACGCGACTTGGTGCTGTTGTTCGTGACAAAGACGAGTTGTTTCCCTGGGTTTACTTAGTAGGAATGTCATCATGCTGCCTAGAGGTGAGCGTCTTACCTTTACTCCTCAGCATCTCGAGGGTTTCTGGGACCTTCTCGTATAGGTGATCGCCGGACCAGAGGACGCCTATCCTTCGTCACGATCAGTAGATGGCCACAGGTGCTATAGCGATCGGGAGCAAGAGCTATCGACGTAGAAAGAAGGTTGGCGCATACCATCGCAGTCAAAGAGGAAGACCTGGGCATCTCGTCAGTGAAGTGTTTTGCAACCGCAGACTTGAGGCGCATACATCGAATCTGTCCAAGAATTCGTCTATGGCTTTCTTGTCACCAGACAGGAACTGAGAGTTTGCCATAATGCCGATTGCCTCGTTACGGTTCCCGCGTCAGTAAACACGGACGAAAGATGACACTGGTGGGGTGCTTGGCGTGGACCCTGAAATCCAGCGGAACGATACCGACGGATTCCGAAGTCCACAAGGTACTCATCACACAACCTCCCATTGATTTGCTCAGCATTTCACGCTTCAATTCGTTCATTCATGCTATGTTTTCTTGTGACACTATGTTCATTATAGCTTCGATCGATCGAGTCAGTCCACGATAATCTTCTTCTCAAGCTCCTCGAAGTTCTCAAAGAAGCTGTCGAAGAGGTTTACGGCGTGCTCAACATCATGCGCACCACCAGTCTCACGGATGCTGTGCATGCTGAGTTGAGGGTTACCCAGATCAAGAGTACGCGCGCCCATGGCCGCCGACAGCATAGGCCCAATGGTGCTTCCACACGAAGAGTCGTTACGAACAACGAAGAGCTGGAGCGGAACACCCTCCTTTCCTGACTTCGCGTTGTAAGAAGCCGCTTTGGCACGGCGGGCTGCTTCTTGGAGCAGAACGATACCTGGTGAGTTGGTAGCGTAACGCGCGTTGGCGTTGATCTTGATAACAGTTCCCTTGTTCATCTCAGGCCTGTGCTGAGCCTCGTACTTGGCTGGGTAGTTGGGGTGTACGGAGTGTGCCATATCGGCGGAGATCAAGAAAGAAGTGGCGAGCGTTTGCTCGTAGGCGGTAGCAGTGTCTGCCTCGACCTTGTCGTACGATGCATCGGAGTTGCTCTCGGACGCTGGCAATACCGAGAGACGGCGAATGACAGCAGGTAGCAGATTGGAGTCTGCTCCCTGTGCTGTTTGGGAGCCAATCTCCTCGTGATCGAAGCATGCGATCAACCGGATAGTCGAATCCTTCTCCAGTGCCGACGAGTCGGAAAGACTCTTGACAAGACCCTCGACGCTGCAATACGTCATCATAAGATTATCCAGTCGTGGAGAGAAGATCAGCTCGTTGTTCAGACCGCCAATGACCGACTTCTGCGTATCGTAAAGGACCATCTCGAAGTCTACGATGTCACTTGGCTCAGCACCAGCCTCCTCGGCGATGATATCGATTATGTACGGGTGGTGTCTCGCGGTCGGCGCAGCGAGGGGGCCTTCGGTCTCCGCGTCGTTGCCTTCGTCCTTGGTTTCATCGCTCTTGCCCTGACGGTTCAGCTCTGCAGCGACAAGACCAGCAATGGGAAACAGCTGGGTCTCCTTGTTGAACTGGAAGTTCTCCTGGCGATCCAGGTGGATAGCCAAAGTAGGTATCCGCAGGATTGGTCGCTCGACCTTGACCAGACGCTGCTCAATGTTGCCATCCTTTGTGCGCACCATGGCGCGACCTGCAATGCTGAGGTCGCGGTCAAACCAGGTATGCCATAGTCCACCACCATATGTCTCGCAGGCTACTTGGATGAAGCCGTCGCCCGTTCGCTTGGATACAGGCTTGATGCGCAGGCAGGGAGAGTCGGTGTGGGCGCCGATCATGGCAATGGGATTGCCCGCCTTCCATTTGTTGCCGATAGCGAATGCGACGATGGAGGATGTGTTACGGGTGAGGTAGTATTTGCCTCCGGGATGCAGGGTGGGTGCCCACGAGTCGCGCTCCTGGTTATTGTTACTATCTGCCTCTACCACGGTACACATAAATGGTATCATGATACCCCACTGTTGACACTTAGACTGCATAGTTGCGTACCTTGATCTGCTTGAAGCCCGCCTTCTCTAATCTTTCCTTTGCTGACTTGACAGCGTGAAATGCTATCTACAATCAGTGTCTACTCAGGTAACGACAGCACGCGACGTACGTGTGGGCGAGGCATTGACAAAAGAAAGGAAGTCCTCGGCAGCTTTGAGGGAGGGTTTGGTCGCCATGGTTCGTACACGCGATAGTATAAACTTGGGATGTGATACAACAAGGGGTGTTGTCGGTGCGAGGTGCAGTAGTGTAATGCGCAGCTTGGATGATGGCAGCATCAAGGATTGGACACGACGTCTACAAGCTGGCCGCGGGCGGTGTGGGGTATCGATTGAGAGGCGATGGAGGGCACGTCGGAGGTTAGCGCTAGACTCCACTCGGTGGCCCTGCGCGACGCTGATTGGATGAGAGGACCCCAAGGAACGCGTCGTGGTGGAAGGTACGAACATCAAAACATGCGGATATGGCAGCGACGACGTGACGGCTCCTGCCCTGGCGCATCGCAGCGGCCACCCTCACCTCGCCTGCTGCTCTGTTCAGACGACATCTCCAACCCCATCTTCGCTTTCACCACTACATAGCCTAGCTGGCCCAGGATTAGCCCATTACTATTGTCTCTCCTTACAGCGCCCGCCGTGTCTCTCGTTGCTCCCCCAGCACCCTGCGCCTGTCTAGCATACAAGCTCCGACCCGCAACCACAACAAGGTCACCGCCGCCCACCCCGCCCGTTGCGCGCCCACCGCCAACACCACGCCGACAATACCCACGTCTACCGCAATTCGATGCGCAACCAAATTGAATAAAAAAGCATACCTATTGTCTGCACTATTGTGCGCCGCGACGACCTGTCATTGGTTAAGAGGAGGGCAAACGACTTAGGGGCTATCAATCATCACAATACCACGACTCCACGTCACCGCGCGACTCACCTCATTGTTCCCGCCTTCACTTTCGTTTCAGGCAACCATTGTTCTGTCAGCTGCAGTATACCCGCCACTCGCGATCTTCGATTACCCTCACCCCGCCACGACTCTGTCACTTCACTTCGCACAGTGCACCGATCTACACAACAACAAACCCATAACCAGGCGCATCCACCTCGATGGCGCGAGACGACCATGGGGAGACCGCTGCGGCGCATGCGCAAACCGAAGAGGGCGTCGCAACCCCGACACTGATATCGCCGCCCGAGTCAAAGACACCGCCTACCGCCTCGCACAAGCGCAACCAGATCTTCCCCTCCAACCCAGTCCGTCGGGACTCAGAACCTATAGATGCAGCGGCGTTGACGAAAGCCCTTGGACACATCGAACAGGCTGGCCGAGTTAGGGAGCGGACACCAACAGCAAGCCCAAGTCGAAAGCGCCCGCGCATATATGGCGACAGGTGAGATTGCAACAGTCTAGTCGCACTAGATTGTCTGTACTGACGTCTCCTCAGATTCATCCCAAATCGCGCAGGTCAAGACCTCCAGGCAAGCTACAACCTGCTCCACGATGAAGCCTCACCAGCAACTCCGTCCAAAGCGAGACGCACTCCGCATCACGAGCTACACTTCCAGAAAAGTAAGCACTCCCAGTCCTCTGCGTTACAGTCACTAACCCGCTATAGCCGAAGAAGCCAACCGCACCTACTCCGCCGTACTCCGACAAGAGATGTTCGAGGGCTCCGTGCCCCAAGCCTTTCCTCAGAGTCTGTCGCCGACAGATAGTGCGAACATGCGAGGGGCAGGGCGCTCACACACCCCTCCAGCTAGAACCACAGCCACGTTACCGCCGCCTTCAGGAACCCCATCCACCCCGCACAAGAACCTGTTCTCCTACTCAGGCCAGCCAACTCCGTCAAGGACGCCATCAAGCCGACATGGCATTCTCAACCTCAACGCTCGTTCAGATCTCTACAGTCTATCACCAATCAAGTACAGCAGTCAACGCATGCTTCTTAGTCCACAACGTCAAGCCCGCGCCGTCTCCAAGGTACCATACAAGGTTCTGGATGCACCGGATCTTGCAGACGACTTCTACCTCAATCTCGTTGACTGGGGCAGCCAAAACACCTTGGGAGTAGGGCTCGGATCATGTGTTTACATGTGGAACTCGAGTAGTGGTCGCGTTACCAAGCTCTGCGAACTTGGCGATGATTCAGTTACGAGTGTCAACTGGATACAGCGCGTAAGTTCTGTCATCTACATCAAATTTCGCACGTACTAATCTCCATCAGGGCTCTCACATTGCGGTCGGAACCAACCGAGGCCAAGTACAAATCTGGGATGCGCAGACTCAGCGCCGTCTTCGCACCATGACAGGTCACACAGCTAGGGTCGGCGCCCTTGCATGGAACGAACACATCCTCACCTCAGGATCGCGAGACCGTACAATCTATCACCGAGACGTGCGTCAGCCAGAGCAATGGCTGCGCAAGCTTGTTGGCCATAAGCAAGAAGTCTGCGGCCTCAAGTGGAATCAGGAAGATCAGCAACTCGCATCCGGAGGCAACGACAACAAGCTCATGGTCTGGGACAAGCTCAACGCCGAGCCTACCTTTAAGTGGAGTGAGCATCAAGCTGCCGTCAAGGCCATTGCTTGGAGCCCACATCAGCGTGGTCTTCTCGCTAGCGGCGGTGGCACAGCAGACCGGACAATCAAGTTCTGGAATACCCTCGTCAGCTCCAGCGGTCCGTCAGCTTCAGCACTCGCCTCCGCGTCGGCGGCCGCGTCAGCTGCAACCACTGCCAACGTACCTCTATCGCCTACAGCACCAGCAAACCTCATCAACAGTCTTGATACTGGTAGCCAAGTTTGCAACCTAGCATGGTCAAAGAACAGCAACGAGATCGTATCCACGCACGGTTACAGTCAGAACCAGATCATTGTCTGGAAGTACCCCAGCATGCAGCAAGTCGTCTCGTTAACGGGCCACACCTACCGTGTACTCTACTTGGCCATGAGCCCGGATGGTCAGGTCATCGTCACTGGTGCTGGTGATGAGACGCTTCGCTTCTGGAATGCGTTCAAGAAGAAGGAGCGCACTGGAGGTCTTAGCAGCATGGATAGTTGGGGCGTCATTCGCTGAACTATTCTATCTGCTTTGCTCTTGTACTGATAGTGTACTATAGGACGGGCGTTGAACCTTGCCGAACCTCATGCGGGCTTCTGAATGGCTTTTATGCTACTTACCAGATGGGACACTAACGTGTCTGTGTAGTTCATCACAGCGCGCTATCGTTGCGTTTCACTTGGCGGCAAGCAGAGACACAGTCCACCTACTTCCTTTCTTCGACGATTT